GGCACACCACCAGCCTTCAGTGCACAGCTGCCATCATGAGGTTTTGGAGGGTGACCTGAAATTGTGTTAGTTACCCCCACAGTTCACTGCTCACTCTAAATTTCTGCAGTGGTAAAAGCCACCTATCTTTCCAAGTGAGAGTCGATCTCTGGTGTGTTACTGCCTAAATGACAGGATGCAAAAGGAGCAGAGGAGCAGCAGGAAAGCCTGCACATGCAGACCCAGCTTACTCCCTCCGGATTGGCGCAGTGTCTCGTCACTTTTCTGATTCCCACATCCAGGACCCACTAGCACAAAGTCCTAATCCTTGTCCTCCAGAAAACTGCATGAGAATGCAAAAAGGACCAAGGAAATTCCTCCTTTGTATGCCAGGAGTCAAGTAATGGTTTAGGAGGTAAAAGGGCCTACCATAATACAGTCAGAAATTTCAGATCACATCCAGGAGAGCTTAAGGTCACACCAGTGTGACTTGCAGGTGTGATACCAGAGGACTTTGAGATTTATTTCACTTCAAGAACAGAGAGGGGAGCCCAAATTGTCAGGGAATAAGTCAGATTTCAGAAAATACTTCTGAATTTAAGAATATGTTATTGCCTGAAGTGTCTGTGTTTCCATATCCTGTTAATGACATGACCTTGCTGAGACCTGAGACACACCAGCACAGCTGCAAAACTGTCATAAGACATTTACATATATTGTCCTTCACTACTGCTTTAGTTATTCATGGATTTTTTTTAAACAACAGCCATCTTAATGAAATGTCAATGTATTAAAGGGTCTGTATAACAGTAATTGAATTTAAAGCACAGGTGACTAGTAACATTATCAGTAAAAATATTAGCGGAGCAGCTCCTTATCATACACAGCATCTCTTTACCCCCCTCCCCGTTTCATTTATGATTCTAATTTCTATTTCTGAAGTTGCAAGTCAGAAACAGACAGCATACTGCACTATATAATTAGGAATGGAAAAGTCCCTGCAGCCTTTATACTGTTAGAAGAAAATATTTTTAGAAGCTTGAATATGTTCCTATTCACACAGATTCAATAGAGGACACATCAGCATTTGCCTTTTTTTCCCCTCCCCCTTTTTTTTCTTCTTAAAGGTCTTAAACCCAGCTGTAAGACTTCACTCCAGGCACAAACTTGTCTAAAAAGCAGTTTATCTGTTGTTTAAAATACTTTGAATCATTTCTGCATTCTAGCCTAGCTGAGAACTTCCTGGAGCAAGGCTGGGGCTCCTGCAGTTAACCCTTTCTGCCACATCGAACAGCTCCTTTTATCCTTTTAGGAAGTGTACCTTTCTCACAGGGTGTCTGTCTGTTTGGTAGCGTTTGTATGCACCTCTTGATTGAAAATACTCACCAAGCTAGTATCCAGAATCCAAGAGAGTCTGACCCCAAATTACATCAAATTGGCACACTGAAATTCCACACAGAGATATTCAAGCTAGCTCAGACACTGACAGAGTAGATCTAGCATGGAAATCCACCTGGATCAATATTTTCCATGTGTCTACAGCCAATTACCACAGGTAAAAGGCCACATTAATGCAGCTCTGCAATCCTGAGCTCATTTAGCACTAGCATTAGTTCCTGCACAACCTGCCATGCAGTGATTGATTTCAAGAGGGGGCCCATTAATGGCTACCAACAGGAATAAAAACAGAAAAGAGAAAATAATAGTCACAACCCTGTAGTGCAAAAAACTCTCCAATGGATTAAAATCAGAGACCCTGGCCCCTGGCAGCAAGATAACTGCAGAGACACATGACTAGGCAGCAAGGCCAGATGGCCACCACCGAGGGTTGCACCAGAGCCCCGCACTGAACGTCACCCACCGCACACCTACCAGGGCTGCAGAAGCCAAGCCCTCTGCCTAGCAGAAACCCTGCTGCCCCTGTGGCTCGGAGGGTCACACGGCAGGGAAGAGAGGAGCTAAAATGCGTGGAATAAGGTGTTTGCTCACCTAAAAATTACATGAAGTGATAACCCAGACTAGGGGACCCATCTAGCCTGCTGTTTCTTTCCAACAGTGGCCTCTACCAGATGCTAAAGGAAAAGCCTTAACACAGTATTTACCCAGAATACATCTTCAGCTTCTGACAACTCTGGACTTTCCTGAGTCAGAGATACTTCCCCCCCCCCATTTAATAACTCCGGATAGATTTTTCTTCCACAATTTGTTTAACTGCCTTCAAAACCCACATAAATTTTTAAGATCCACAGTGTTCTCCCTCAATGAATTCCATGGCTTTACTAACAGTTAAATAAATACCTCCTTATGGATACTTCAACCTGCTGCTTATTAGTTCCATCCAATGTTCCCAAATCCTTTTGTTAGAAGAGATAGCAAACATTGCTCCCTGGTAATTCTGTTTGTCTCCTGTAGTTAGGAAACAGGACATAATCTCTGACATCTTCTGATTTTTCATCATAAGGAAAAAGTCCCTACCAGACAAACTCTTCAAGCCAAAGGCATACAGCTAAACTACTGGTAACACTAATTTAGTTTCAGAGATGGAAACACCACCACCCAGCTTTCTATTTATTTGAGTGCCTCTTGGCTGTAAAACCTACAGATTTATAACTGAACTCTGAAAAAAATGCAGTTCAGGTCGAAGTTGTTTTTATTATGTTTTTTTTCTTGACAAAACCAACATTGTTTTATGCTGAATAAATTTTCCAGCCGAGCCAAAAATAAATTTCATTCTAATATGCTTTGACTTAAAATAAAATTGAATAAAAGGTTAGACAGGGAAACAAAAATCAAACCAACGGTCTGGTGTCTTATTATTCAATATCATCTCCTAGAAAAACACTTTAACTACCTCTGCTTCCATCACTGAAACTGTTGCGCTTTGTATAATGTAACGCTCTTCTTAAATTGCAGTCAAAATTCCCCATTATTTAGGAACACATCCTCAATCACAAGACTAGAAATTCTGTCACTTGCTTTGACTTGATGAAATCTTGAAATACATTACAGATACTGTAACAACAGAAGCTAACGCAGGTGTATGCAAGATTGCTGCTGAGCAGTGCTCAGGACATCCACAGAGAGCAGACCCTGGTCCACAACTTCTACCTGACTCCCAAGACAGCACGCTCACTGCAAGGTTGCTCTGGCCCCATTAACATTTACTTGTCTCTGAGGAAGTGAAACAACTTTGTAAGGAAAGAATAAAATACATCCATTTCACAGCTCTTCCAGTTTAATGGTCTGATTACTCCTTTGGGAGATGGGCTCATGTTCCCCAGAGAGAGAAAATGGGGAATGCAGGTTTCCCTTCAGATCTGAGCTGAAAGGTGGTTTCACCACTACTTTCATCAATGAAGGAAGCCCCGATTTACTCCTTTCCATTTGTCACTGAAAAGCAATTTGGACCTCATTTTATATGAAAAAACATGTTTGCTCAGCTTTAACATAGCATTCTGAGGTCTTTTTAGACCTGAAATTTGTAGACAGCAAATTTTTATGCAGTGATGCAACCAAGCATTCCATTGAAAAATGCTCATAAGGCAAGGAAGACTTAAAAAATAGCTTAAAGAATTACAAGTCACATAAAGAAACTGTTAATTTAAATAAATTGCTACATACATTGAAAGCTTTTAAAAATTTACTACTGCCAAATGCACTAAGCATTTATATTTTAAATTACTGATTTAAAAAAAATGGTACGCAGCTAATCTGATTCAACTTTTAGCTGTAGGAGTAGATTTGTTAAAAAAAATTTCAAAACTAATACTAATTTCAAAATCAATAACTTGACCTTATTGTTATTATTATTTGAAGTTTCATAAAAGCTGAAGTTTCATAAATTATATGAATGCTCACTGCATGATATTGACTTGGTATTAAAATTTACTCATGCAACATGGTCAATAATATCCAGGAGCTCAAAACAGTGGTAAATTCCACATCAACTCCAAATATAATTTTCTACATTTTTACCTTAGGAAAAAAATAACTCAACACACACAGTTAAAATTTTTCACGTATCTACTGGAACATTGAGCCAATGCCACCACTACAAAAAAAGTGCCATTCTTTTTGTGTCCGATGAAATTCAGAGGCTAAGGATGCTTCCACAGACAAACCTAATGCAGAGTGAGGAGAGCAACAAACCCCCACTCGGTGTAATGTCTCCCAGAAGAGCTGCATCTCCTTACACACACCTTGAGAATGGAAGTAGTCATTAGCTAATGGTAGCTCATCTCACAGGGTGTAGCTACCTAGGGTTGAGGGAGGAGTAGGTGACACCCAGTCAATTTCCACACAGACTCAAGCCTAAACTTTTAGAAAAGTCTAAGTACATCTACAACAGGAAGACTTTTATTTTTTTCTTCCCCTTCATCTTTTCTCCTTCTGAAAGCAGAATGATACCTTGATGCTGTGTAATGCTTTTGGAGGTGCAGCTGTTCTAAATAATTTATAATAAAATGATCCTGTGACATCAAGTCTTCAGTTACTGCTTGGCTAGCCTAACTCAAGGCACATTAACTCTTTTGCTAGGTAAGCCACGCCTATAGTAATTTTGTGCAGAGTTTATTATCTTCGCTTCACGCATTATTCCTTTCAAAATGCCCCCTGAGTAAGACAGGCTCCTCAACCCCGGTGTTAAGTCACGTCTTCTCCAAGCGGAGTTTGGGCCCGTGAGACACCACCGCCTGCCGAGGCAAAGCTGCTGGGATGGGGATGAGCCCTGCCCTTTGCGGGACACACCAGTATGAAAGGCAAATCAAACCAACTCTCCACCCCTGAAAGACCATTTTGTACTGATCGGACCTGAGATTCCCACCTTAGCTCGCTGGAAGCCAAGTTCGGCTTTGCCAAGAGCAGAGTTGAAACGGTGCGGAACAGAGGCAGGCGTGAGGTGACGGAGGCGCGGGGCTCCGCCAGACGAAGCCGGCGGCCCCCGGCCAAAGGCCCCCCCAGGCGGC